TTTTTTTTTTTTTTTTAAGAGAGAGTGGATTATTATTATATTTTTATATTTATTTAATATTTGTCAGAGAGTTTTAAATGATTCATACAATTTACATGTCTAGAGAGACGTCCTATTTTCGAGAGTACATTTTAATGTACTTGGTGTAACGCTCGATGATTGATAACGGAATGCTCGTTGCTTTCGAGATAATTAAGTTTGCACTATTCAGTTAATATGAAAAAAACAGCCTCGTATACACAAGTCGCCCACGCGTTTCCAAATCGCGTTTCTATGCCGCGCCAGTCAATTTTGCCGTAAACGATTTTTCGGGCCCACCCCGACTCTCGTGCATCGCGGGGTACGGCCACGAAGAAGTCGCGAGAGAAAGGAGTTTTTACCTCGTCAGGATTCGATGCACCAAGCAATCTCTCCTTCCACTTTTTGCACGAAACTATATATACGTAGTAGACCGTAGTAGATGAGAAGTTGTACTAATCGGTGTAATTAATTGCTGATATAAAGTATCAAGAGAAAAGAGTAGATTGTATTAGGTATTATTAATCGCATTATATTAAAAGAAGGTGGGGAAAGGCAGCAGTCTTTTTTTGCTCCTTTTTTTTCTTTTTTTTTTTTTCTTTTCCTTGTCGGATTTGCAGGCGGGAGAAAATGTCGAATGCGGGTAGAATAACGGAGATTTCGCGGACGAGACGGTGGGGCAGAGAAAGATGTAATAGGTATATATATATACATATATATATATGTGTGTATATATATATATACATATAAATATTAGTAGCTCCTTAACGTTCGTAATGGATTTGAGTCTTATCGCAGTCTTTGTTTCACGTAACATTAGAATGTTTGTCTTAAACATTGGCTTGGACAGTCTTGCATGCAAATGGTAGTTTGGTAGCACTAGTTAACCGTTTATAACAAGAGCTACGAGATCACCAACGACAGGATAAAAATGAGGATAATTTTGCAATAAATCAGGAAGCGATCTTACATTCGGATCGAAACCGCTACGTTAGGAGAAGATGAACGGATCAGTTTTGGTGATCATTCTAGCGCGAACTAGAAATAGATAAATGCACAATAAATTATTTATGAAAATAGTACTTTATTATTTATTTTTAATGGTAAATAAAAAATTTTAGCTTCGCTATGTTAACGCGTGTGGATCGCGAAATGATTTTTCACGTGGTCACGAAAACTCGTCCTAAAGTCGTCAGTCTTGCGATAAGTCGAGCGAAGGTGAAGATAGACGCGGTATTCCCCCTCGATGAATCGGATGTCGGAGCGTTGTTTGATCGTGAGAGCGAGAGAGAAACAGTTGCAGGAAAGAGGGGCGAGACGCAATAGACGGTCCATGTGCATCGTGCCGGTTCTCGGCTTGTTCGGTTGCAGCGTAGCCGCGGTTTCGGCTTCATCACGTTCGCCGAGCCCGGCAGCGTCGACAAAGTCCTCAAGTGTCCTATCCACACCCTGGATGGCAAGAAGATCGATCCGAAGCACGCGACGCCGAAGAACCGCGCGAAACAGGCCAATCGCACCAAGAAGATCTTCGTGGGCGGTGTCAGTCAGGACACGAGCAGCGACGAGGTCAAGGCCTACTTCAATCAATTCGGCAAAGTGGAGGAGACGGTGATGCTGATGGATCAGCAGACTAAGCGCCACCGCGGCTTCGGCTTCGTGACGTTCGAGAACGAGGACGTCGTCGACCGCGTGTGCGAGATACACTTTCACACCATCAAGAACAAGAAGGTCGAGTGCAAGAAGGCGCAGCCCAAGGAGGCGGTGCAACCGGGCGCGCTTGCCCTCGGCAAACGGGTGGTTCTGGGTGCCCTCGGCGTGCGGCTCGCGCCGCAACCGCCGTTGCCGGTCGCTGCGGCCGCCTCGCAGCTGGTGGCCGCGCAGGCGCAGGCCGCGCAGGTGCAGGCGGCCGCAGCTGCGGCAGCGGCGGCGCAGGTGCAAAACGCGGTAGCGGGTTACGGCAAACTATTCGCCGCCACCGGCGGTTATCCGGCCCTCTCGGCGTATCGATACGCGCCGTATCCGATACCGGCCGCGGTAGCGGCGGCCGCGGCCGCTGCGGCGCCGACCGCACAAGCGGCACCGGGACCGACACACGGTGCGGCCGCGGCCGCGGCCGCAGCAGCGGCAGCAGCGACGTCACCGGCCGCCGCCGCGGCGCCCGGCAATCCCTATCAGGGCTATTCGCTCACCAACGTCGACATGTCGAGCTTCCAGGGCGTCGACTGGGGATCCGTGTACGGGATGGGAATGTACGTTTAAAGAGGAGAGACATCGACACGACCGCCGCCGCAACCTTGGGATCCAGCGACGAGGAGAGGAGTTCATGTTCGTTCTCTCCGAGGTTGATTGCGGCTCGCGAACCCGCCTTTCGAGAATCTCTCGATATGGGAGAATTCAATGTGTCTCTGGAGAAAAATGACCCACCGCGCTCGCACTGCAAAAATACGAGATAATGATAATACTCGACGAAGATAACTTCCGACTTCATGCTTCCGATCGCCATTTCACCGGTAGTTCTCGCATCACCGGAAAGCGATGCTAGTAGAGATGGGTTCTTCGATACTTTTGTTACGGAATGGAATTACACACATTCACACATATACACATACACATACACACACGGAAAAGCGTACAAGCGGAACGGATCCAATGAAAAAAGCTGAAATTTCAATCGATTCGTATTCGAGCGAAGAGCAAAGATTGTCAAGGGAATAAACGATTTCTCCGATGTGTGGAAATCCAGCGAATGATGAATAGGATTAGGCGCGCGAGGCGAAGCTCGAAGGACAAGGATCAGAGTCATCCGTGTGTAATCGTATATTCTGTTCGATTGTTTTCCCAAATCGAATATATCTTGAACTCATACTTAATTTTTAATTATATAATTTATTTACGAGCATCGCAGGATCGAGGCTAACGAACCTCATTACATACGTTATTATTTTTTCAAGTCCCCTTCGTCTTTCGTTATCGCGCTTCAATTCATATCATTTCTCATCATCACAAGTCATTGCGTTTCAGCATACGCACTTTGGTTCCTATTTAGATTAATGCGTACGCATTATATAGACTTGGACGAATCGCGCTTCATCTACGTCGCCGCGCCCGTTACGTTAATCACCGCGATTAATTAACGCGATCCATTAGCGACGTTCACGATAGTCTCTTAGTTTCCTACTTGTTCCCGCAACGGTCGTTTCCTCGGCCACGAAGCAATAAAAGGAGAAAAACCGAGAGGCGGTGAACGACGCGAAACGATTTACTCCGCCACGCAAAGTTCGAGACAAAAAATTCGCTCGTTTTCCCTCCCTATTTCCGTTCTTCTTGCCTCTCGTTATATCCACTTTTTTTTTACATATACATTTTCTCACGTCTTAATGATGATGATATATGTATTATACATATTCCGCCAAAATACATTGTCGAGTTGCCTTCGCCAGAGACCAGCGGAAGTACGAATGCGGAAGTATGGATAAGATATTAATCGAATCAGAAAATAAACAGACCGATTTTCCGAATATCGAATATATTTCGCTCCCGTATCGGAATCTTTAAAGTAAAATACACAATCGCTCGGACTCTCTTTTCTCGAATCGATAGCGAAAGACTAATGTTAGAAAGACTAGATTCGCGTCAAGTGCCAAACGAACGTACGGAAGGGAGGCATTTAACTTTCTCGCGTCTTTTTCCGATGTCCGAGCGACGATGAGATGCGACGACGACAACGACTCGACGACGGACTCCTTCACGATCCTCTTCGTCGCATCGTGCTTCTCGTGGTTTTCTCGGCGGTCTCTCGCTTTCCCAGAGGCAACAGGTCACAACACATACAATCCATTTTGCGCGAGCGAGCAGACTCTCTCGAGATTACATATGCATGAGCAACAACACGAGAGGGACACGTATATAACTATGTATAATGTATAGATACATATACACACGTATATATACATACATATATATATATATATATATATATATATATATATATATGTATATTGAATGATTGTTTACAGAGACACGTTTGTCAATTTACCGAGCCTACGCAAGCTGCATCTAAACCAGAACAATATCAGCACCGTGCGCGACAGGGCATTTAAGCATTTGAGCTTACTGCAAGAGCTTGAGCTAAGCAGTAATCAAATCACGAGTATCACACACGAAACTTTCTACGGTCTGCGCAATCTACAACGTCTTGACCTGCACAACAATCAAATCGCCATGATTGGAAAGCGCAACTTTGCTGAGATGTCGGCACTAATCGAGCTTGAACTTGATCAAAACATAATTACATATATATCTGAAAGAGCATTCGACGGTATGCACAATCTTCAGAAGCTGCGGCTCAGCGC